GTGGGCAGCCTCGGATGCGAAAACATCGGCAGGGATCAAATCTCCCCAAAATTCTTGAAGCCTGAAATGCCAAAGCATCGGCAGGGATCAAATTTCCCCAAAATTCCTAGAATCTGAGCAACTATATAGCGCCGGCACTCCCCTTTACTTGGAGCCCCAAACCCTAACAGAAGGGATTGCCATGGGGCGCAGCACATGTGCGTCATGTGCGGGCTTGTGCGTATATGTAGGCGTCTATGTGTAAACATAGCAATGCACATGCTTGTGCATTCATGTGTATGTGCACGTACATAGATAGCATAATGCTACACTTTCTTGAGCAATAGCACGCATATATTGCATGCGCGCATGGCATATTTCTATATATCACAAGCAAAACACAACACTCAAAAACCCAGGCCCCGTGGAAGGCAAATCTAAACCCTCAACGCTTTAATTCAGCCCCATACGTTTAAAAAATACCCCACTCAGAGAGCCCAATACTGTACCGCTCAATGAAGGAATATAGGTTAGATAATAATATTAAATTGAAAGCGCCCTACAGGTTGCGGTATATTCCTTAATTAATGGTTGAGGTATATTCCTTAAGGGTATGTATGTGGCTTTCTGGGCACTGGGAGCAGCGTCCAAAAAGCGGCAGATGAGGCCTCCGCCTCCCCGGGGCGATCCGGGAGGAGCCGTGAAGTCGGCGGTTTAGGGTTTAGGAGGTTTTTGTAGGGTTCCTTTGAATGGCTCCATACGGGTTGCTTGAGAAGGGTTGCAAAAAATTGAGTAGTAGAAGGGTTTAGTATAGAAGCCTGAAGAGTTAGTAATATCCTTCTTTGGGGTTCCTGATTATGATTATACTAGAATACACCCCGAAGCCCTAGTCTTATTGTGAAGGCGGACTTGAGGCTGTTTGTTGGTTTTATAGTGGCATAGAAGCAGTTTAACGTGTTTCTCACGGGAGTAGTCGGTGGGTTTTGAGTTGTGTGGAGGAAAACAGGGGCTGACAAGGCCTGAGTGTTTGAAGTTCTTGGTGAGGGATGTTTGGTTCTCCTGATGCCTCTCAGGTAAGGAACATTCCTCATACCATAATGAGGCTTCAGGCTTCTAAGGCCTTAGGGTTTATAGTTTATAAGGCTGAAATATCAAGAAGGTGTACTTGAGTTAAGAACTCGTCCTTGGCGAAAGGGTCTTGGGCTTCAGACCCAAAGCCCTAATCGCCCACAAAAAGCCAGGGCGTTACGCTTCAGCCCTGAGGCATATTACTTATAACCCTGCTGCGTTTAGGCACCCGATGAGAGAAACTCGACAAGATCATAAACACGCTTCTGGCAAGAGATATCTAGTTTTCGAAACCCCGGTCGCAAAGCCCTCGGCGACATGAAGCCTTTTTCTTCAAGGCGAGGTGGAAAAAAGGAAGAGTATAACCGCACTGTAGAAGGCCGTGCAAGTTAACACTGTGATTATGCTTTGCTTTGGTGGATATTCCCACGAAGAAGGATTCAAGCTTACTGCAGCCCTATGAAGGCTTCAAAACAAAGCGCAAATTGAAGCTTCCAAGGGGGTTATCGGGCTCGCATGGTTGCTTGGTGCAGGCGTCGGCACCTGGCGCGCTGAACCGGCGAGCGTTTTTCAGAGCCGTTCAAGACTTGGGGGGGGGGGGGGGGGGNNCGGGTGGGGGCGGGGCTTGAAGCTAGCACTAATAATCGCAATACCATTGTAATACTAATACGAATACGAACACTGATAGTGATAGACACTACGGTACCCAAGCTTAGTTGGTGTTCTGGGCTTCTGAGTTATTGCTTTCGGGTTACTTCGCGGGCCATGTTTGTTTTTTTGAGATTCATGCATAGAGGGCTCTTAGAGTTGCACTTCTACAAGGGGTTGATAGGGCTTTTATAGGGGGGCCACAACGCCTCTATTACCCACTTGAAGGAGTCTGTTGCGCCTTCGAGGCTCGGTCTGCATCTTTGGGGTTCTTGTGGTAAAGATCTCGCTATGTATTTATGGATACGGTTGAGGCTTTAGGGTTGAGTTTGGGGCTTATAGGGCTTAGTTTTAGGATCTTGCTATTTTCGGCTTTATAAATGAAGTGTTTGGGGCTTTATTCTAGGCGCCATTACTTTCGGCTCGGCAATGGGGACCGACTTGACGGTTCAGCGTTTAGAGTTTACTTGGGGGAAATGTACCCTGTTTGCCTTGACCAGCACTCATAACTCTTGGTACTTGGCTTAAATGCCTAGCTACTGCAAGCACCTTCTAAATTCTACGCGTTAGGCCTAAGCCTCTTGCAAATCGCCCCTGAAGCCCAGTTGGCAGGTTGAACACGCAGCGGAGCGATACTTTGCCGAGCGGCCCTCAGAACCCATTGAGCCCAGGAAGCCCAATGCTTTGCAAGATCAGGAGAGTCTAGAACGGGTTTTAGTTCCGAGGGATCTTACAGGCAGTCCCGGTATGATTCGGACATGTGCAGCAGCATCTGCATTTCCTGGGCCAATTCCTCGAATTATCATGTCGTTCTACGAGCGAGGTCGCCCCCTGTGTGGAGCAGCCCCCAAATCCAAAGAAACCTCAAAGCCCCAAGCCATAAAGCCTAAAGTGCTGAAAGTTCCAAGCTCCGAAACCGACTGAAACCCGAAACGCTTGTAGAACCTGTGCAACCCTAGACCCTACCACCTCAAGAACAGGACTTGCAGTCTCTCAGCGTGTTTCTTTGCGGTCAGGTGGCATTGGGAGGCCAATCGCAGGAGCCCAGGGCAGCAGTGTAGCGGGTTCACAAACGGGACGGTTATGAGTTCTATAGAGTTTGTCGGGTGCTTCTAGGGGCCTTGTAGAGTGAAATGTCGGGTTTAATGTTTTGCAAGGGTTGAGCAAGAGTCTTGTAGGGGTTTTGGGGTTTACGAAGAGGATCAAGGGACTTAGTAAGTAGGTAGGGTTCAAAGCAAAGTAGCCAAAGCTCTACTTATTACATCCCAAACGAAGGTAATTTATCGCCGATTGATGACCTTGTCGCTTTCCTGGCTGAGGATGCGGGGGTTCATCTCCAGCGGGAAGTGGTCAGACAATCTTGGAAATTTTCATCTCCAGTCCTCAGGACAAGTGGATCTTGCGCAGTCAAAGCAGGACCTGTCCTAAACCCTGAGCAGGAAAAAGCTTACTGCTTAAAATACGCCCAAAGCTAGCCCGTAAAGCATCCGCGTAACACGGGAATGCTGTGTGCAAAAGAAGCCAAGCTGAAGCAGAACCCACAAATGAACCAGAAGCCAAGGTGAAGCAGAACCAAATTGGGAGGGCTATGACGCATAGTACCCCTTTATAGCCAGCACCCTTGTGGTAATCAGTATTACCTCCATACTCCAGGACATGCGGCGCTGGCTTTCTGGCCGCAGCGGTGCTGGCGAGGTCCCAACCAGGGCTTTCTCTTGCGCGCATGAATGAAGGAATCCAGGGTTTAGGGTTGAGGTGGTTAAGGAAGGTCCGATTGTGGTGGGTTTCCCTACGAACTTATATGATTCGTTGAGGTCTTGCAGGCTTCTCAGTTAAGGAAGCTTGTTTAAATCACTCAGGGCTTCACATTATGGTTTCAGGTCACTCTGTCTGTGAGCGCCAGTCGTTGCGGGTAAGAGTACGAGCTTGAGGGTTTCGAGTGTAGGGGTTGACCCCTGACAAGCGGCTTGCTCGGGTTCTCGTGCACCAGATGTCATGCGGTCCCTGAACACAGTTTTTGTTGGGCTATAGTCCCAAGATCGAGCCAGTCTATCAACGCAAAATCCTAGTAAACTTATACTCAAAACATGATGCCCTAAACCTCAAGAATCTTGACATCTGCCTGGAAGGAGCCATACGTGCTCGAATTCCGCCTTGCCGAGGAAGAGAGGCGGTTTCTGCAGACCAAGAGCCCCAATTGGGTTCCAGCTTGTCAGATTTAAGGTCAGCAGACCTCACAGCAGTAAAGCCGCAAACCCTAACTGGCCACAATGCCTTCCGAAGCCCTGAACGTTAAAGTGCCAAGAAACCTGAAGAAGCTACCAAACAACCTTACAACCCTAAGAGACCCGCATGAAACAAAAACCATCAAGCATGAACCCAGTTCACTCTTAAAAACCCTACCAGCCTCTTGAAAGCGTATTATAAAGCCCCAAATCCCGACCAGAGCTTCATAACACCCCGGGAGTAGAGACCCGTGGTGTTGACAAATGATCAAACCCTCGAAGACACCACATATTATCCCTTGTTCATATATATAAAAAACACCCTTAAACAAGGCAGCCCCACCCCTCGCCGCCGCGAAAGGGTTAGAGCGATTTTGGAGAGAAAAAATGCGTAGGACAGCAATTGGCAATATCTAAAAGATACTTAAAGATACCCTTGATTAGCATGCTTTGCGGCTCTACACCTAACAACTGGACTGCACTGATGCCTTCTGCCTGTGTTCTGTGTGCAGCAAGATCGCCTGAACATCTGTGAGAAGTGACGAAGGCTGGCACTTCAGGGCTCTTTTAGGTGCTGCCTGTCCACTTCTACAGGTTGTCGGGCCCCAGACATGTCTGCAGAGGTGTGCAGAATGAAGAAGCTCACCCGAAACACAATGTACCAACGTGCCCAAGAACACCCCCGTCCGCCACAGCAAAACGGTCAAATGGTGTCGAGCATCATTCCATTCTGTGTTTGCCCAGAGTGTCGGTCTCGTAAATACCAGCCATTTCGCGTGTCCGGGAAAAAACGACGCTTGCCAGATACCGTAGTATTTTGGAGCCTGAAGACCCCCTTTCAACAATCAAGGCAAAAGCTCGATTTTTGGATTTCAGTGACAAAAACGATCGACGAAGCAGGAGAGTGTAGGCAGAGACAATGGAAATGCCGTAATTATCAAGGAATTTGGTCGAGCGCAGTCAAAATGGCGACGCACCCAAACAAGGCGAACGCGCAGAAAGTGCGTTGCAACTTTTGTCTTTTTGCAGAAGTTACGTGGTAGAGACGGCAAGACCAGAACGAGAAGAAGATTGCAGTGAAAAGGAGCGAAAGTGTTGTAAATACCGAGAACTTTGCATGTCTAGAGGCAAACGGATGTTCTTAACCCCACCCCACCCCGCCCTCCCCATTTGACCCGGAAAGTATAACACCTTCCGCGGCGGCGAAGGGCGGTGCTGCCTCAAACAACGACCAAGTCACTTGTATTATTGACACAGTCGCAGCCCCTTCAATCGTTCCAAAGACTCCCGACAAAGAGAAACCCCAGTACAATAGAACCCTTTTGCACCCTTTGTGGTATACAAGAAGCCCGCCTGCAGGAGATGGGACTATCGCTTCGCCCGGGTAGCCAAGCTGAGCTCCGCGACTTGGAGGCTCGGGGGTTGCCACCTTGGGTTTAGGGTTCAGGGGTTAGGGTCCAGGGTTTAGGAGGCTCTGTAATGTCCTTACAGGGGTTGAAGTAAGAAGTGTATAGTATAGGTTTTGCATAAGGGTTCTATTGGGACTTTAGGGGGTTCAGGGGCTTAAAAGGGTCGGCCAGGGGCTTATGCGGAGTTCGTACGAAATTTAGACAGAGTCTACAAGGGCTGGGTTCGTCAAGGTGTCAGAAGGACTTCACAGAGGTGTCTGAAGAATCCGTAACATGTTTCGCATAGGACTCCCTAATAGGTTTATGGCGCAAGACAAATCAAATCCTTGTTCTAGATGTAAAGCTCTAAATCGCATTGTTTTACGATAAAGATTGCTATTTTGAACTATAGCTGTTGTTTTCGTGGACATGAACTAGTTGTTACTTGCCATGCCGGTGGCTTCAAGTAAAGAGACTCCAGTGCTTCCCGTCCCACGTAACAACTCGCCCGTGAGACCTCAACTAGGCCCTAGGCACTGTACATCCAACACCCAGACCCTAAACGCTAAAACCCTACCCCAAGCAGTGAACGCCCACACCCTTCAAGCCTTTAAACATGGCCTAAATCCTAGCTCGAACAGTTTCAAAGACCCCAAACAACATTAAACCACCCATTTCCTAAACTCCTAAACGCTACCACCCCCGCCCCCCCCCAACAGTTAACCCCTACCGAACCTCACCGCGCACTGCACCCCCCTAAACACGAGAACTTGTGAACCCTACTCTGTCGCTTGAAGCCTTCGAGCCCGAAGCTGGGCTCCTCCCACTTCCGGAGCTTAGACACCAACCAAAGTCTCCTGAGGATTTGGGGTTCGGCATTTAGGGCAATTTCGGGTTTAAGGTTTCACTTTCCAGGTTTTTATGGTCATGGTCCAGGTTTTAGGATTTTAGGATTTGGGGTCTAGACCGCTAGGGACAGCAGCAACGCCCTCTTTCATGTCTTAACGTAGACCCGAATGAACGGCTAGAAGAGACGGTGCGGTCTAATCAAAAGCGACGCTCCTGCGGTTCGGGCTTCCCGGGGATCCCACGAAGGCAGGCTCCTACAAAAGGAGTTACTTGACCCTAAACCCTGAACCACCGCCCCCAAAAAAATCGAAACGGAGTTCAACGCCTCAGGTTTATGGGCGACTCCTGGACCCTCTGTCTCCCACCAACACAGATGAATGTAGGGGCTTGAAAAATTGCAGATTCCCAACCCCCTAGTCGAATTATTCAAGCTTTCTAGCAGTGCTGTTGTGGGAGGCCACTGGCTTGGTCCTGCGACCGTCACACGGTTTTCTGGCTGGCCTGCCGGCGGCTCAGAAGAGCGATTGGGGTTGCTTCATTCTAAGCGACGAAGCAGTGCCTCAACCTTGCAGAATGTAGACAAACCTCCAATGGCGCACCAACACGCTGTTTGCCGCATTTGCCGCACCTGTGTGTCAAGCACGACCACGTCGGCGCGCGCCTTTGCTCCACTGCTGTCCAGTTTGATGCTATGGATTGTGTGGCCGGCCAATCAAAATGTGACTGGCAGCACAGCCCATGTACCTCATGGCTCCACGCAATTCATCGATCTGAGATTCACATATTGACCCAAGAGAACCAAAGCCGAGCTGCTGCCATGTTCATGACCGCCAAGACAGATGGAACACTAGCTTTCCCGACCGTGCGAATTTCACCGCTCGTTTAGTATCCATGGACTCATAAAGCTGGGAATCATGTGTAACATCAGGTCACATACTTCGAGGCAGCAACAGCCCGGAAGACAGTCATGCTGCTGAACTCGAGGTTTCGTCGGCCGAGAGGACGGTAAGAACTACCTTCAAGCAGGCGCGGCACAGGGCCCGAAGGCAGGCTGTTGTCGATGTACAGCAGAAACAACACTATTGGCATGTCGTTGTCGTCGTCGCCAATGATGTTGATGTTGTTGTTGTTGTTGTTGTCGTTGTCGCTGTCGCTGTCACCTCTGTTCCTGCTGGTGGAGCCAGCAGGCAGTGTTCTGTCAGTGGGAGCCACGTGGCACGGTGGTTGCTCTTGCTAACAGCATTGAGAGACCGCAGATAAATAAATCATTCACACCACAAATGCGGCCGGAAGCAACGGAATTTTGGCCCTCAGCCCAGCTCCTCTGCACTTCCAGGTCTGGACATTTTTCCAGAGAAGCGGTTCTTCTCTGCACGGCTCGCGAGCTTTCCAAAGGCCAGAAGAACACGAAGGGGTGGTATCTGGGGTGGTATCTGAGGGGTCTTATGGGCGAGCTGTACCTTGTGCCAGGACTGGTCAGAAGACGAAAACATAAATTCCGGAAGCTCTCCGACAGTGTCCACCCTTGAACTTCCGAGATCATCGACTGTGCAGGCAGCATACTGAACAGTTCCTCTTCTGCCGATCCGTATTGCCACAGTCACGATCACAACCGCAACCGTCACCCAAGTATCGCCCCTTGCCAGATGATGGGATTTGGTTTGCCAGCGGGAGCCGTGGCCTCAACTCACAGCTTGCTCCTAGCCGAGCTCCCTGGTAGCCCGCACGTAGGTTTTGCGGTTTTGGCACCACCAAGTAACCAAGTACTACGTCACCAGAAGCACAACAAGCCGAGCACGTTGCCTTCAAGAATAAACCACCTTCGAGAATTCCATTTCATGCATTGGGAAATGCATACACTTGAGGCGCTTGTGGAGAAATCGATTTGAGAGCAGGTAAGAGCACGCCAATGCGGGCCTTTGTTTGCAATTTGCTCCTTCCGAAACTTTAGGTTCCAGGTACCTCCGGCCCTCCAGCCTTTCTTCTAGGTAAGAAGCCCGATGCCTGAAGTCCGCAAAGCTCGTTGAAAAATGTATGTTCCTTGTATCTTGGGTAAGAGTGCACCATCAGGGAGCGGAGCTTCGAAGGGCCATTACGCGCCACACCACACTTCTACACAAACCCAAAGCCTCGAATCTTCAACCCTATACCGCCCTACATCTTAAATCTCTTCAAGCCCGAAATCCTAAAGCCACACTTTTCCAAGATAGTGTTCGATGCCTGCGAGGCTCCAGGGCCTTTCTTTGTGCGAGACGTGGTGCTCTTCGGGCGAGGCCCTCCGATAATCCTTTGTGTGCTGGGGTGTATGGAGAATTTTTTCGAGATATCTATGGGGCTGTACGCTGTTGGATAGGAGGGTTTCTGTCTAGGCTTTGGCTGAATTGGGGTTCAGGGGGTTGAATTTTAACAGATTTTGGCCTTGTCGTCTTTGTTGTTTTCGGAGGCTGCTGCAAGGAAGAAGTAGGCTGAGCAGGCAACGTGCCTCCTTGTCCTGCGTAGTTGCAATCTGTATCTGAGGTGATTCCGTCATGCACCCGCAAATACTAAATCCCCATTCCCGCGTCGCAAATCGCGAAAACAGTCTTACCAAATCCATATATCGAAGTCGCATTAGTTAGCAACCCATCGGCTTCTGAAGAAGAGCACATGTCCGCCGCTTTCGCCACGGACCCACCAAAGCGGGAACAGGGGCGCTCCGTCCGGCGCCTTTCGCTGGCCGGGATCACCTGGTGGAGGCAGCCTTAAGCTCCCAAAAAGGAAGCCGTTGCCACTTTAAATTAAAAGGCACCTCCCTTAGATCGAGCCTGGTGTTGGGGTGCCCTGTTTTGTTTTAGTAGCGCTGGGTTTGGGTTCAGGATTTACGTGTTGGGCAGCCGTGGGTTTAGGGATTTCGGAGCTTTAGGGTTGTGGGGTGTTCTAGCTTCTTGCAAGTTTCAGAGGGCTTAAAGTTTCAGAGGGCTTTGTGGGGGCTAAGGATCTAGAGCTTCGGGAATCTTATTCAAAGGTTGGTGTTTAGGTCTAGGTGTACCGGAGTTCAGGTCTGAGGAGTTAAGGGGGGTGTGTTATCACCATCAAAATCATCATTTTCTCCTCCGGCACCCTTACAGCAACTTCTACATTTCCACCCCAAGCCTTGAATCTCAAGCCCTCAACCCGGAATCTTAAGTCCTCAGCCCCCCAAATCTTTGATTCGAAACACTCAGCCCTGAATCCGAAGGCCTAAATCCAAAAGCTTGAACCTCTCTGTACTAGGAAGCTCTGGAAATATCGTGTTCCAGCCGAATCATCCTCGGCGCACATTCTTAAAACTTCCAGACAAAACTGTGTTTAGATGTGAAGGACTTTTGGTGACACCCCAAAGCCCCAGCGACACGGACCGTGGCAAACTTCAATGAAGTGAACTTCAACCTGAAGCCTTGGCTATGCCCCAAGCGACTGAACAGTCCCTTTGTTTACCCCCTCCAGAGCCTTACAACCACGCCAAACCAAGCCTGTAACACCCTCTTAAACACCCTGTCTAATACTAATAAACCCGCGAGCACCCTAAACCCTGAACCCTACGCCCAAAATCCGAAATCATGAACAACACTTTTCACCCAAAACCCTAAACCCAAAGGCCCAAATCATGAACCCTGAACCCCAAACTTAAAACCCCAGACCCTCAACCCTAAACAGCCCCGGAGAGGTTCCGCTGACGCGCCGAGAGGCCGAGAAAGCCCTGCGCAAGGAGCGTCTCTCGGGTGAGGCGGCGGGCTTGGGCTTCCTCTAAAAGGGATCTATAGGGGTTCCTTTAAAGCCGGGTCTTTGAGGGTTCCTTTGACGGGATCTATAATCGTTCCATTAAAGGGATCTCTAAACGGGTTCCTTATCGGGATCTATAAGGGGTCCTGTGATAAGGGCTGCCTTAGAAGGTTTTCTATAAGCCCAGAAGCCTCCAAGATTTCGGTGTCCTATACTTTCAATCTTGTAAGGCTTTATAAGGGCTCCTGTAAGGCTTCCTACAATCCTATTCGATTTCGTTTTGTTTCGTGTAGGGGTTCCTTTAAAGCATCCGGAAAGATGTCTTATGAGATTTCGCTTTATGGTTGTTTGAAGGGTGCCCCTAATTTAGGGGTTCCCTGTATGGTTCCATCAGGTTGCTATCAGGGTTGCTATACGGGTCGCGGAAAGGGCTACTTCACGGGTTCCTAGGACGGTTTTGATAAGGGTTCGGTAAGGCTGGGTCTATATAAGCTTCAGGGTTTTAGGGTTAGCTGGTTTGGGGTTTATACGGTTTTCTGAAAGGTTATAGGTCCATGTTTAGGGTGTTTCATCAAGGTTGTCTGAAAACTTGTAGAGGCTCTACAAATTCCTTAGAGTTTCGATACATTCGGGTTTGCTGAGTTGTTCTCCGAAGTTTTATGGATGTTTATGATCTATAGGGTTGGTTCGGTAAGGGTTCCGTAGCAGTGATGCGGTTGAGGACTGCAGGAATTAGGACACATCGGGAGGTTGCTCTATTGGGTGCATAGGGCTCCTACAGGGGTTTAGGGTTCAGGTTTAGGGTTTAGGGCTCGAGTTTGTGCTTGACAAGACCTTGGAGCAGGTTGCCATTTAGGGTTGTAGATGCATTTCGACAGGAGTAGAAGGCTTTATAAGGTCTGATGTTTAAAAGGCTTTTGAGAGGTTTTCCAGGACTAGCACAGGGCCTTGCATCGTGATGAATTTGTTGTTTTGTTGGCATTTTGCGGTGTTTTGTAAGGTACGGTCCTGGTGCTTGAGGTACAGGGCCATTGGGGAAGGGTACTCTTGCCGCCTGGGATTGGGCAATGTATGCTAGATTCATGGGGCCTTTGCTACTGGACCACACTGGAGCTTGGACCCAAAACCCCGGTGCAGGAGGTCAGCGTCAAGTCTAGTGCCACGGCAGCGTCCTAGGAGTGACGTTCCTTAGAAGGTTTTATGACTCTACGACTTGAGGCGAAGAGTTTTAGTCGCTGTGATGGAAGCCGCTCGGCTGTCTCGACTTGTGAGAGTTGCGAACAGTCGGAAACATGATCTGCATGGACGTGCGGCAGTGTTCCGAGACAGTCAGGGGTACTAGTACAACATGACATATTTAGGATCAGCGAGGATCAGCAATGTGTGCAGGTGCTCGCCCTTACCGCTGAGACCGACGACAAGGAGAAGGACAAGTGTCATCCTGTCTGCTGCAAAGCACTGCAAAGTACCCTTGTGCAAGGGTAAACACCCCGTCGTATGTTGCGGGCCGAAGCCAATGACGGGACCAAGGAGGGCTTAGCGGAAAAACAAGAGTCATGCATACATGCATGCATGCATACATACATACGCAGGTACCGACAGACTTGACAGACTGACAGAGTGACACACACACTCACAGACTGACAGACTGGCAGACGGGAAGACGGATAGACGCATCGACAGACAGACCGAGAGACAGATAGATAGACACACGTGCATGCGCGCAATCAGTATACATGTTCGTCCAAAGACACCCGCTTCCGAGGCTAGGGCGAACTATACTTGTAGTGGTCATAGAACTCTTTAGTTGATTTCAAGTGTTTTCCTCAGTGCCGCGACATTGGGTGGGCACTTTGGGTCCCCTTCATGGGAAACACGCCGGTTGGAATCTCCTCGTGCGAAGGCTGAAATGCTCCCACCTTGTAATTTGCTATGAAGGCATGTTTCAGTCAAGGTCCCAGTGGGTCTTTCAAACGATGAAGCTCTTTCCAGCCTTTCTTCCAATGAAGGAGTGTGAGTCGGGTCCGGCAGACCATGTGGGGTTTCAGGGGTATGGAGCTGCAAGGAGAACAAAGAGAATCCGCCTGGAAAGACTCCTTGGTGCAAATCTCAGAGAGATGGGACTGCCCTGTCGCATTTTGCAATGTTCTGCTACGGTATCCAATCTTGTTGGGGTTTGAGATCATCGTCGGAGTAGTAGTAATTAGTAATACCAATCTGTAGTAACGAGAAATCCTACTAGTAGTAGTAGTAGTAG